GGTAGAGTGCTGTGGCATCACAGCTCACAGCAACCTCCAACTCCTGGGCTCAAGCGAGTCTCCTGCCTCAGCCTCCCAAGCAGCTGGGACCACAGGTGCTCCCCACAGCGCCTGACTATTTTTTGGTTGCAGCCATCATTGTCGTTTGGTGGGCCTGGGCTGGATTCGAACCGGCCACCTTAGGTGTATGTGGCTGGCGCCTTAGCCACTTGAGCCACAGGTGCTGGGCCTCTACTGCTTTCTGAGACCTCTTTCTCTTATCTGTAAAATTAAGGTAATGACATATATCTTTCTAAAGTAGTGTGGAAATGAAGTTAAATGGTGCCTGGCACACCGGCTAAGGTGTGGCAGGCAGCTGCTGTGGTCTCTGTCCCTCATTCACCCTGTCCTCTCTGTGCGTGGCCTCTTCCTAGGAATGGTCAGGCTCTCAGAGCTCAGATCAACAGTTCAGAACCCCAGGCCGGTGGGGATGGCCCTGGCCTTGCCAGACGACATCATCACCCAGCGGGAAGAGGCAGAGGGGGCCACAGAGGAGCAGGAGGGAGCCTCGGAGACTGAGACAGTGGCTGTGGACAGCCGGCCTCGGAGGCGGAAGTCTGCTCGGCCAAGGGACACGGGCACCAAAGCAGAGGCGGAAGAGCGGCTCCGAGGGCGCAGGCAGCAGGACTTCGGGCTAGAGGAGCACAGTGGGTCCAGCGACGAGGACAGCCAGGAGCGAGGGAGGACGCGCGTTACAGAGGAGCCATGGACTCAGAACCAGCAGAAGCTTCTGGAGTTGGCATTGCAGCAGTATCCAAAGGGATCCTCTGACCGCTGGGACAGAATAGCCAAATGTGTCCCCTCTAAGAGCAAGGTGGGTGACGGGGAAGGAAGGGTGTCGGACGCCAGTACAGCGTCTGCTGTGTGACCGTGACCACTTCTCTCCCACTTCCGGGTGTGGTTCCCGCAGAGCATGTGATCAGTGAGGTCACGGTTCTAAGTTCAGTCCATATCCAGACCTGCTAGTTATTTATAAACATCGTGCCCTTTGTGGGTGTGGCCCAGGCTGGCCATGCTGGGTGCATGGGGTGGGGGTGGCAGCTCCCTTTGTCCAGGCTGAGGAGAAGCAGAATGCCACAACATCACAAGGTCCTCTAGCTCCATGACCGGTCTGCGAGCAGGGGCAGACTGGGGAAGATGCTGCCACCGTGATCCATTCAGCTGCCTGTGAATGGACTGGACTGTGGGATGGCACCCAGCTGCCCAGGGGCTTAGAGGGAGTAGTTTGTACAGGGTGCATGAGGGTAACATTTAGGATTCTGCTTACCTTCTGTAACCTTGGCCTTTATAATTGCCTTTTCTCTCTGCATGTACCTCTTCGTATCTGCTAAAATACATCCACAGGTAGATATATCTACTCAGAAACTCAGAGGTGGGAGGCCTGACCAAACCTGAGCCTGTAATCCAAGCACTTTGGGAGGAAGAGGCGGAGGATGGCTTGAGGCCAGGAGTTCAAGGGCAGCCCAGCCATCATAGCAAGATCCTGTCTCTACAAAAAATTTTAAAATGATCCAGGCATGGCAGCGTGTACCTGTAGTGCTGACTGCTCTAGAGGCTGAGGCAGGAGGACCACTGAAGTCCCCAAATTAGAGGTTGCATTGAGCTATGATCATACCATTGCACTCTAGCCTCCGTGACAGAGTGGGACTTTGTCTCTTAAAAATAAAAAACCTCGGAGAGGAGGAAAGATGGTTGTACCTTGTGGAGGGCCAGCCCCCACTCCTGGCAGTCCCTTGCCTGTGATCTGGCAGTTGGGAGCTGTAGGCTTCAGGGTGTGATCTTTTCAACTCAGGGGTTGCCGCCCCACCATCTCCTGTCTCCTGGTAGCTGTACTCTCAGTCCCAGGCTCTGGACGATGAGAAATCAAAAGCACCAGTCTCCCCTGCCTCTGTGCCTATCACGCAGTAGCCTCTGGGCACAGTGATGCTCATTTACATTCTTTTTTTTTTTTTAATTGAAATTCTATGTTGGAGATCTAGCTTGTGGCCATGCATGTCCCTCAGTATACAGGTCTAGTTATCTATCACCTACTTTAAAATGATGAAAGTTGAGAGTTCCTGGGAGAAAAAGAAACCATTAGCAGTTGATCTATTTGAAAAGCACAGATTACCCCAACCTGACTGGTTCGCCAGAAGTATTTTCCCTGCATTTCTCTGTCAGAACACAGGCACTTGGATGTGTGACCAGTGAACATTGGCTGAAAGGCAAGGACCTGAGGCTGTGATTCCAGGGAACAGACCACCCAGAAACTCTTTGCCTTGAGGGTAGAAGCGTCCTATTTTCAGCCAGAACCAGGCTGGGCTGGGCTGGCCTGGCCTGCAGGTGTCCCCTTAAGCCTTGACTGCAGTCCCACAGCTGAAGCTGGCTGCAGGGAGGATAGAGCACAGATCTGGCTACATCCAGTGCCATGTGCTGGGGACAGCGGAGCTGCTAGGGAAATCTGATTTTCATGGACCTTATGGGAGACAGGAAAGGCACTTGTTAGGGGAAACTCTCCTGATACCTCAGTCCCTGCCTATGTGTGACAGCTCCAGGCAGCTGAGACTCTTGAAGGTAGTGGTTCTGGAGCCTGCCGGGGTACAATTAAGGCCCGTGGGCAGAGCAAGCACACCCAGCTCAGGCCACTGCAGGGGAGTCTCAGCTGTGCCGGGCCTGGCGGGGTTGGTTTCTCTGAAGTGCCATGTTGTGAGGGAATAGTGAAATGTCAACATGATGGTTAACAAGTTAAAAGTCTCAATCATTACAAGTTTCCTGTTCCTCCCAAACAGCTGCTGGGGTCTGCACCCCTGGAGGCAGTGCCCAGCCCTGGGACTGGACCACAGCGGCCTCCCCAGCCCCCACCTGTCTAGCTGGGTCTCCCTGTGCCCTCTGGACTCACCCAGGAAATTCCAGGAGGTTCTGGGCAAAGGGACTGGGCATGAGACCTCTTCATTAGCACTGGGCCTAAGCCAGCACACAGGCCACCGGCAGGTCGCCACAGTGAGACCCTGGCTTGTACAAGTAACTGTTCTCACCTTTTTTTTTTTCTTCCTACAGGAAGACTGTATCGCTAGGTACAAGTTGCTGGTTGAACTGGTCCAAAAGAAAAAACAAGCTAAAAGCTGAATATTCTGGAAGATGATATTCACCTTCATTTTCCAAAATGAGTATTTTAAAAATCTTATGCAGAAATTTGCATTTTGTACCTCAGTATTTCTATACGTCATGTGCCTTAGTAAAAAAAAATAAATAAACAATAAATGTTGTGCTATATTGTTTAAACAAATACTGCCTTGGGAAAGGGATTTGGGCATTCTTTAGATTATTTCTCATTACTACAAAGTTTACTTCCTGGGGAACAAATAAATAGTGCTTTCCACTGATCAGGCACATAGTTGTCTCTGAAGGAACATGTCAGCAAACTAATGTATATGACTTCTAACTTAATGTGTTTTTCTGAAATCCATGACCAAAGAACCCAGCATTCATGTCTGTATTGGGGGCTGAGTAGCAGGATGAAGTTGCTTGGTGAGAAAAAAGCCAGGCTGATATGGCGCTGGTCAGCTAAGAGCAAAGCGAGGTCTTTATTGTTAAATATGTTCAGGAAAAACCCTAAATGAACAAGTAATAAACTCTAAGTTTGGGCTACCTGGTAAAAATATGTTCCCAACTGAGAGAATTTCCAGAGAACATGCAGATAGGAACTGATAAAATTGGGTCTTGTTTGATGCCTGAGTTAAAATCGCTATTTGGCCTATAGATTTGTATTGAGTCTTTTGTGTTGTGTTTGAACCGTCCCCATCAGCTAAACTTTCCTTTTAAATCTGTCCTTTCGTCAGGACTTGAAAGTAGTTGGGTAAAGCACTTGCTTACCTACATTATGGTAATTATGACAGTGTATCTGTAAAGACCTCATTTTCCTCTGAAGATTGAAATGAGGTTACAGTTCTTGGCAGAGGGTTGGCTGGCTGAGGGCAGGGCTCTGCTAGAAGTGGATGTGGCTAGGCCCTTTGATGGTGGGAAGGAGCTGCTGGTGACTCCCTGAGTGTAGACACAGCTACCTGGGTCTAAAAAGGGCAGTTGAAAAGTGAAAAAGCAGATCACAGGTTGATCCCCACTTACCTGAAATGCTTGAGACCAGTAGTGTTTTGGATTTTGGTATTTTGGGTTTGTTTTTTTTTTCTTTTTTGGATTAGGGAATATTTGCATATAATAATGACCGATATCTCTGGGAGGGCACGGAAGTCTAAGCATGAAATTTATTAGGTTTCATATGTCCCTTATACACATAGGAAGAAGGTAATTTTTTTTAATTCAGAATATTACAGGGGTAATTTAATGCAATATTTTTTATTATTTTGTGCATGAAATAAAGTTTATGTACATCAAACCATCAGAAGGCACAGGTGCCAGGTGTGGAATTTCCCTCTTGTGGTAATCGTGTTGGCAACTCAAGAAGTTTTAGATCATGGAGCATCTTGGATTTCGGTTTCTCAGACTAAGGTAGAGATGTTCAACCTGTACCATGTCCTGCGGGTCACCTGGCATTCGCTGGACTGCCCACAACATGGAGCAACAGCTCTGTCAGCCTCAGCACCTGCCTAGCCAGGAGGACAGAGAGGAAGGGCTACCCTGGTGCTGTCACATGATCCAGCAGTGCTCACCACCCTTTCCCCAAGAACAAGTGAAGCCAGTTCCAGGATGGCACCAGAGCAGTAGCTTCTATCCCAGATCTTTTGTCCTGGTGGGGCCAGGAGATGGTGACTATACATTTGCTGCTGGCCACATCAGCAATGAAGCCACCAAGAATGAAATGGGTACCCACAGAGGAACAAGGAGAGAGACTGTCCTGGCTACACAGGCCCTCTCTCTTCTGTCCCTGAGCCCAGCCTTAGGTCTCTCTGCTGTGCTGCTGGTGACACTCTGAGTATCTGCCATTAAGTCTCTGTAGCAGCCCATATAGCTTATGGCTAGGAGGAGTGAGAGTTATAAGAAACACCTGTATAGCTCAATAATGGAACACCTTGGTGAAAGGTGAGAGATTTAGCTGGAGAGGGATTTAGCTCTCCTAACAAGCATGAGAGCTCGCGAGATGAGAGCAGTGGTGAATTGGCAGTCTCTACACCTGTGGTGTTGAGAAGCACGAGATCAGCCCTATATTAGGCAGCAGAAGGCAGTTGGGGAGCTTGTACTTTCTATCACGGACTCGCTCTGAGTCTCTCTCCTCTCCTGCCTGCAGAAGACAGTACCATGTCTCTCTGCTGAAGATTACCAAGCTCTGCTAAAGACTAAGACCTATCTATGCTAAGAAGACTGCTTTACCCTGAGACTCTCTCTTTCTCTCTCTCTCTCTCTCTCTCTCTCTCTCTCTCTCTCTCTCTCCCCAGCTAAGGTAGATAGCCCTCAGGCACCTTAGAGAAACTGTTCCTGAGCAAGGTAGCTTAGCGGTCCGCGTCTGGTACCTACCTAAGCTGGCCCGAGACCTGCCCAGTCCCGGGTCCTGACAAGGGGTGTCAGAAGCGAGATAGTGAACGCCACTGACAAATGGTGCTGTGAGCAGGATTCACTGAACATGGACCAAGAGGGAAATAAGCTTTAGCAAATAAGAAAAAGAAGAGAAATATATTTAGAGAGAAAAGAAATATCTAAGAAAGACAGCCAACAACAGGCCTTTCTCATTTGGTTTCTCCTCTTTCCTACATTTTCTCTTTCCAAATTCTAACTACTTCTGTGGGGAAAAAAGCCGATAAAAGCCTTTAGCATCTTCTGGGAAGCAGCTGGGGAAAAAGGGGGCAGAAAAAAGCCTTTAGACAAGAGGGAAAGAAAAAAGCTAGAACTAGGAGATAAGAACCTTTAGCAAACAAGCCTTTAGCCTCGGCGGTAAGAAGAACCTTCAGTAAAACAGCGAAGAGAAAAGTTTGGGAATAGATTACGAGAGTTTACTAGGTTAGGGCAGAGAACTTCTAACTGCCTTGCCCTGTATCTTCGCCCATTGCCAGCAGGAAGTAGCTTTTGAGAGAACGACGCCCCGAATCCCTTTTTGGCAGTTAAGAGTTCTGTTTAAAAAGAAAAGTGAGGTAGATTGAGGGGGCTGGTAAAGAAATAGAGGAAGTGAGGTTTTGTAAAACTAAGACTCCAGAGTAAAAGGAAACAGCTAAGGAGTTCCTGTTCCTTTAAGGCAGCCAAAGGTTCTAAGAATTGAAAAGGAGAAGGCTGAAAGAAAGTCAGAGAAAAATAATGGAAAATTAGATACAACATTTGAAGTATCAGATGGAACAGCTTAAAGATTATCATGGCAGCTGATATAAAACAGTTGAGTGATCAGATGAATAATCTTATAGTAGATGCAGGTAAATGCTATATTGACGTGACAACTCAAATTGGGTAGCTGGAAGATCAGAGGGTAAATCTCCCAGTTAACATCTAATGCCATGAATGTGGGAAGCTAGGCCGTAAGAAAAAAGAGCGTTTAAAAGGGAAAAGAACGCCAAATGTTAAGAAAAGGAACAAAGAGCATGTAAACCTCCAGGTGTATGTCCTGAGTGTAAAAAAAGGCTTTCACTGGGCAAACGAATGCCATTCTCAATTTGATAGAGATGGAACATCTTTATTGTAGGGAAATTATCAGTTGGGCCAGAATCAGGACCCACTGGTAAATGAAAGAAGTTAAAACAGTTTCTTTAATATTTTCATTTCAAACTATTCTCAGAAAAACAGTACAATTCTATGCCATGGGAGCACTCTGCCAGCTTGGTTAAACCTGTGGTGCCTCAGCATAAAACTGAGTAAATCAGACCAATGGATGATGATGGAGGATAATTAGATTAAATATGTTTGTGGAATATTAGGTTATCCTGCGTGGTGAAGGGGTAACCCACCTCTCATCAGCGTCTGTGTACAATAACTGGGTCCAGCTAAAGAGCCTGGACACAGCCCAAAGGGGAAAGGGACTCTCTGAAACAAGTGACTCCTTAGGAAGATTATGAGAGGGAGAACAAAGGGAGGGAAGAGTAACTAGGAGTTAAACCACCTTTGTGCTAGGAAGCTCCATTTGAAAAAAGAGTCTGGAATCAATTAGCAAAAATTCCGCTGGAAAAGCAGCTTGAAAGCAGGAAAAACTCCGCTACCAAGGAACTGTGAAGTGTGAGACCCTTAGTTTACGAGTAACGGTCTTTTTGAGATCTGTGAAGGGTAGATTTAGGACTGCAAGTAGCAAAGCTTTCGGAATAGTGAGAAAAATCCTTGCTTGCAAAGATTGCAAGGAAAGTGTTATCTTTTGTTCCTCTGTTAAGTAAATATCAAAGGAAAGTTTGTACAGTTAAAGATACGGTAAACCTCTCAGCAAAGATTTTCTGTTTTCTCAGTTTAAAAAGACCTTTAAGGGAATTAACATCACAATCATCACTTTTCTCTAGTAGCTGCTAATAGTTTACATCTGTATTGGGCTTCCTCATTTAAAGAGCTCATACCATACCTGGAACTCTGAACTTTGACAATTACCGTATTTTGCCTAGCAAGAAAAGGGCCAGATAACAGGAAGAACTGCCCTTACCACATCACAAATTATTTTGTTTGTATATAAAAAAGGGGGGAAATGGAGCAGCCCGTATAGCTTATGGCTAGGAGGAGTGAGAGTTATAAGAAACACCTGTATAGCTCAATAATGGAACACTTGGTGAAAGGGCACGGAGAGAGACTTAGCAAGCATGAGAGCTCGCGAGATGAGAGCGGGGTGAATTGGCAGTCTCTACACCTGTGGTGTGGAGAAGCACGAGATCAGCCTTGTATTAGGCTGGAGGAGAAGATGGTCGGGGAGCTTGCACTTTCTATCGCGGACTAGCTTACTGTCTCCTCTCCTGCCTGCAGGACGCCAGCACCATGTCTCTCTGCTGAAGATTACCAAGCTCTGCTAAAGAGTAAGATCTATCTATGCTAAGAAGACTGCTTTACTCTAAGACTCTCTCTCTCCCTCTCTCTCTCTAGCTAAAGTAGATAGCCCTCAGGCACCTAAAAGAAACTGTTCCTGAGCAAGGTAGCTTAGCGGTCTGCGTCCGGAACCTACCTAAGCCGGGCCCGAGGCCTGGCCAGTCCCAGGCCCTGACAAGTCTCCTTTTCACTAAAGGCACCCTGAAATGGGTGGGTTTCTCTCTCAACCTCCCCCAATTCCATCACTGATTTCTGGGTTCTCAGTGTTACTAGAGACCCACTGGGGTCCAGAGGTGCTGTGGGAAACACAAGTAGGATGGAACCTTGACTTGCCCACTGC